GATGTGCATGTTAGTTTTATTTTTTTGATTTTCCCCCCCCCCCACTTCCCCCTATGGGGATTTTTCCGATTTTCCATTCGTATAATCGCCTATATCTCGGAGACTATAAGACCTACGGACACCAAATTTTAGTTCCAGATGCCTTATGTGAATACGCAGAAAATGTGTATTTTGGAATTTACCACCCACCCCCCTCTCCCATGCAATTCGCGATTTTCTCTAATTCCCGTAATTCTTGGAATTTCGAACTTTTGCAAATGCCTTTAGTTAGTTATTATGTGTCCGTATGCCAAGTTTCACTATGATAGACCGATTTAACAAGAAGTTATTGCCATAAATATATTTGCTGCTGCAGCGCTGCTCAAGCGCTGCTCAAGCGCTGCCCAAGTGCTGCCCGTGGCTGTTGTTGATGTTGCTGTTTGGTTGACAGCTAACATGTTTACACAGACACGAATATACGAGCATATACATACATACACTCACATAGACGCAATTGCTTTGTATATGTGCAATTATACACCCTTTACGTGAGTTCGAATACCGAGAAAGGTAAAATCGATCAAAATTTTTTTTTTTAATTCTCTTACTTTTTTTAATTTCTATAATAATTCTAAACATATGTACAGAGTATTTGAAAGTCGGGACACCCTTTAGCTTTTTTACTTGTTTTGTTTAACGTTATGTAATCAATACACATTCTAAGCTCCCCTGTTTTTTTCTTGGTCAACACTATTGCCGACGCATACTCTGACTCACTTTCTTTTATGTATCACTTTTCTATATATTCATCTAACAGTTTCTGCACTTTTTTTCTGGGCGCGAGAGTCTCCTCGGCGGGTAGTGAAATGGTTTCACTTTATCAAAGCAGAGTTTCATTTCACATTTAATTTGAGGTACTTTTGGTCTTTTCGCATTAATATAATATTTTCCGAACATTTTCTTTAATCGCGTTTCAAGGTGATGACCACAGCCTTCTCCTATTTACACTCATTCTCTTTTGGATATTTTATTGGCAATACTCTAAAGCATTTTCGTATTTCTTCCTCTACTAAACACTCGTTTTCCAACTCTTTTGGTTTTTCATGTTCAATTTTTTCCTGTCCCTTTGCACATCCTTTTGTTCTGCTAATTGTATCTACCGCCCTATTTGTTGCTCTCTTTTCTAGTTGACAGCCATTCTTTTTTATATCAGATATTTCGCACTCATTTTTTAACCGAACACTCATTTTTTTGATCATTTTCTAAACTCTTATGATCGTTATTGTCTATTTGTCTTCTTGTGTTGCCATTTTCTTTGACTAAGCCATGGCTGGAACATTCAATTTGCATTAATTCAGAAATAAGCTTAAATTTAAATGTATTCAGAAAATTCCTACCCAACACAGCCTCAAAGCCCATCGACTCATTTGGTACTAAACATATTTCAAACTCAATATTGTTATTATTAACTAGTATAGAACATATTAATTTTTTCAAAATTTGAAGTTTGGTTTAATATAAACCAACATAACATTCATTGTTATTCAATTCACAGTTACATCTAATTAGTTTTTTCAAATCAAAATTACATTTTTCATTACATTTCATCGTTTCATACATTGTTCCACTATAGGCTAAACTTTTCATTCAACTGGACGCTTTCAAGAAACTTAATGGGCTCCCCGAGTCGATTAGGCATTCTGTTGGGAAAATTGGTTTACTTTTTTCTATAAATTTTAATTCAAAGAATCTTACGTAGTCATTTGCAAAATGGCCCATTGAGTTACAGTTAAAGCACCGAACTGGAGACTTCTTTTCTAGCCCTGCTGAACTCCTTGGCTTCTGAGGTGCTGTCTTTCTAGGTAGGCGAATTTTCTTTGTCGAGCTGCCAGTAGCATTTTCTGGTTGTCGTAGGCGCCAAAATCTTCTTCCACCAACCATTTGCGTTGCTCAAATTGGCGTTGTAGAAGTAATTTATTTTGCTTGGTGCAAAATATTTCCGCCACTTCCTCCAGTAGTTTACTCACCGGTTGGCTTAAATGTTTGATGTCAGAGTAGAACCAAGACTGCGCCTCCTCTTTTAGCTTTGTCACTAGCAGGATGCGTAGCATATCGTCATTTAATTGATAAATGCTCGAGATCGCCTTCACCTGAGTCACCCATATGTTCGCAGCTGATTTGCCGTCAAATGTTGGCAACATATCGCGCAACAAATTTATGGGGATGTTGCTTGATACATTGCTGTCGGCAGCAACATTCAGGCTGGCCGATTCAACATTCCGTCTTTCTGTCTCCGTTTTTCTCAACGCATTTCACAAATCGACTGATCTTTATTTTACGCTTTTGCTTATCTCTAGTTCATTCTATGTCATGTCTTGCATTATGATATATACATGTTGCTTATAATTAGGGTGTTGCTTATGACTAGTATGTTGCTTATGACTAATATGTACATGTTGCTTATACTCTACTCTGCTTACTACACTATATACACTTGCCCGCATAACTCTGCGTACACACAAAAAAATAGTCAAATTTTAGCTTTAACTGTGAATATCTTTTAACATATGCAACTTATTGATCTAAATGTTTTTGATTTGCTTAGATTCGACATTTTTCTTAATAACTACATTTTTTTTAATATTAATATAACAATGAATATATTTTATTTCTATTTTTTAACGAAACCTTTTTGAAAAATGGACCCGCAAAAGTCTGCGTACAAATTGTTTTTCAAACATATTATGTCGCTAAATTCGAGTTTAATAGCTTGTTGGGTATCCTTTTCTTTGAAGGACCTCCGCCAGACGTCGAGGCATCGATTCCACCAGCTTTTTTGTGTCCGCCGGTGTTATTTTTTCCCATTCCTGCAAAATTACCTCCTTGAGCATACTTTTGGAGGTAATGTTGTGCTGCCGGATTCTGCGCTCGAGCAAGTCCCACAAATGCTCTATAGGATTGAGGTCTGGAGATTGGGGAGGTGTTTGCAAACGTTTTTTTACGTTATACAGCAACCACAGCCTTACGCTGTGAGCTGTATGTTTGGGATCATTATCTTGTTGGAAATAAAAATCATTTTCCAGCCCCAACTTCTGGGCACTTGGGAGCAAATTGTCCTTTAAAACTTGGATATAGCCTTTTTGGTCCATTATCGACTCTATGAACTCCAGCTTCCCAACGCCATTAGCTGCCATGGACCCCCAAACCATTATTCCTCCTCCGCCGTGTTTGACAGTTGGAACTAAATTTTCTTTATTTAAGGCTGTACCAGATTTTCTCCACACCAATTTCTTGCCTTTTATGCCAAACATGCAGAACTTGCTCTCATCCGAGAATATGACCTTGTCCCAAAATTCAGCAGGCTTCGACACGTGCTCATTTGCGAACTCCATGCGCTTTTTCTTATTCACCTCTGAAATGTGAGGCTTCCTACGGGCAACTCGGCTGTGATATCCAGCTTTTTTAATAACTCTTCGCACGGTGTCTTCAGATATGGTTTTGGAGAACCTTTCTTCCACCTCAAGACGCACCTGCTGAGCAGTCATCCTTGGGTTTAAGCGAACTAAAGCAACGATACGCTTTCCCTCTCGCTTTGTTAATAGAGACGGACGCCCAGATCGTGGCTTTGGTAACACCGAACCCGAGTAAACATAATTATTGAACACCCTCTGACATGATGAGTTAGTTCTGCCCACCAGCTGCCCAATTTCTCTATAAGATTTGCCCTGGACACGCAAATTAATTATTAATTTTCGAAGGTCAGTGTCGATCTCTTTTCCTGATGGCGCCATGGTTGTGATTGATCAAACACAACTTCAATGCATAGCAAAAGTCTTTTGCAAACATCAAACAAAAGAAAAAGTGCAACTAAGATAACTGTAATTGCATATTCTCTTATTCTACACAGTTTAGTCTGCTTGTACGCAGACTTTTGCGGGTCCATTTTTCAATAAGGTTTTGTTAAAAAATAGAAATAAAATATATTCATTGTTATATTAATATTAAAAAAAATGTAGTTATTAAGAAAAATGTCGAATCTAAGCAAATCAAAAACATTTAGATCAATAAGTTGCATATGTTAAAAGATATTCACAGTTAAAGCTAAAATTTGTCTATTTTTTTGTGTGTACGGAGAGTTATGCGGGCAAGTGTATGTATATATACTTTAGGGGGTCGGAGATGCTTCCTTCTGTATGTTGCACACACCTAATATACGCTTTTTTCCCTACGGGTACAGGGTATAAAAATGTTTTTGTTAGTGTTTTTAATCAAAAGTCTTGGCATAACTTACAACATTTGATAACTCTCAAAAAAAAAACAAGATAGAACGCTACAGTCGAGCAAGCCCGACAGTATAATTCCCTGTAATTCCCTATAAGAGGTAGAGACACCAAACAAAGATGCGTTATGTGTATACCCTGTGCAAGCATGTTATATTTTTTTGATTTTCCCCCCACTTCCGCCCTATGGGAGTTTTCCTGATATTCCGTTCGTATAATCACCTATATATCGGAGACCATATAACCTAGGGACACCAAAATTTAGTCCAAGATGCCTTATGTGAGTACGCAGAAAGTGTGTATTTTGGAATTCCTCCCCCCTTTCCACTGCAAATTTGCAAAATTGAATTTCGAACTCAAATTATGCAATTACCACCTGATAATGTGTCCGTATGCCAAGTTTCACTATGATAGGCCAATTTAATAAAAAGTTATAGCCATAAATATATTTGCTGCCCAAGCGCTGCCCGCAGATGTTGTTGATGCTGGTGCTTTGGTTGCCTGAAAACATGTTCACACAGACACGAATAGGCGCGCATAGATATCCATACACTCACATAGACGCAATTGCTATATAAATGTGCAATTATACACCCTGTACGAGAGTTCGAATACCGAGAGAGGTAAAATCGATCAACATTTTTTTTTAATTTTCTTAATTTCTATAATTATTCTAAGCATATGTACAGAGTATTTCAAGTCGGGACACCCGACTTTAGCGTTTATACTTATTATACTTACCGTACAAAGGAGGCAATATTTTCTAAGTCCATTTCACAGCCTGGCCAGCGGCAAATGCCATGAGCAAATAAGGGATGATAATATTTGCGAACAGCAAACTCTTCATGCATATGATTGTACTCAGTACTGCATATATCTGCAACATCTTTTGTCCTCAAAAATGAGTCCGCATCTGAAAAAATTATTCTCTCCTGATCGGATAAGCTCTCAGAAAAGCCATAAAAACTGAGATCTGCTGCTGGTGGTACTAAATGATGATTTTGTTGTATATGTAGCTGTGAACGAGATGAAATCTGAGAACTCGTTGCGGCTTCGCCTCCTGCACTTGAGTCCGGGGAATTTGATTTAGCAAACTGACTACCATAAGGTAGTGTATTATTCAAAAAACCTGTTTGTGAAACAGAAGTATTTTTTGTTGAATTCGAACAAACATCTGCAGCTATAGATAAATTAAATCGTGTTTTTTCTATGATATCGTTTTGATGTAGCTTCCCCAATAGATTAGATTCCTTTAAATCTTCTGAAAACTCATCGTCATGTGACTGAAGCATAACAAAAACCTGAAAAAGTAAAAATTATAGAATATTTGTAAATATTATTTATACATATACCACAAGTATGTATTCATGTTTCATCTTAACAGCTTACACTTCTTTTAGCAAAAGTCAATTTCAAGCAATTATGAGCGTCGACAACTTTACTCTTTCCGGAAGAATTTCCATTTGCCTTGCATTTTATAATTACGATTTTTAAATAAACTCATTTCGCAAATGATATTCTCGCGCTTCAGAAACACAAATCGTTTAAGTGGGTTTGAACTGGTCAAAGTTGGGGGGCGACTGGACCTCACATCCGTTGCTGCTGCCGAGCAATTCACCTTTCGTTCGGAATTATGTTCGTCATCTGCATCTTCAGAACTTCCACCCTTGCCCGAAGGCATTGGTTACACTCATTCGCTTGGAATATTTCCACTGGAATATTTTGCAGACTCATACACAAGCTGGAATTATTATATTTGATCCAACATATCGGATTCTTATTATAACATGTTAATATAAATATGTAATGCTCACAATATGTAAACATTTAATTATCCCTGGTAATTTTAATTCAAGACGAAGAGCGTACTAAGGCTATGTCGTTTTTTGATCAAACCGTGTTTTACTAATTCTTTCTGGAGCATCTAATAAGAAGGTTTCCCAAGCTCCGCAATTTATCATTTGCATTATGCGATCATTGATGCTCTTCTGTTCACGCGTTAATTTGGGAGGTATTGACTGGATATATGGCTAGACATCACCGGTGTTGTCATTTTCAATGGCTCTTGTTGTGCTTCAATTCGAGGCACTGACATGCTTATGGGCTCATGGAATTATGCCGTAAAATAGGTTATGTTTCCCTATTGCTCTCCCTTGCCCACTTTTTTTTGCCTGTTTAACTTTTTATACCCTGTAGCCAAAGGGTATATTAGCTTTGTGCGAATGTACATATGTAAAATAGAGAAGGAAGCGTGGCAGACCCCACAAAGTATATATATTCTTGATCAGAGTGACAAACCGAGTCGATATAGCTATGCCCGGCCGTCCATCTGTCTGTATGAAATCACAGATCTCGGAATGTATAAGAGCTAGAATAACCAAACTTGTTTTCCAGATTCTCCGAAGCCTGAAAAATGTCAAGATGGTGATTTTCCATAGCTCCAGTAATTCCTGGAGTTTTTATACTCTGTACATTAAATGTCAAAGATAATTATGTTTGCGGGAGGTGAAAAATATAACACGCAGAAGCAGGCGTGGCAGAGTCCACAAAGTATATATATTCTTGATCAGCATAACAAGATGTGCCAATCTAGCCCTGTCTGTCTATCATTATGTTCGTCAGTATGAACACCTGGATCTCAGAGAATTGTATGTATGTAAGTCGTCCTTTTACTAAATTAAGTGAGTGTATAAGTTTTAGTAATTGTGATTTTGGGAAAATCTCTAGCTGGGCTAAAAACAATGGGTTAAAACTCAATCCCACTAAATCTAAATGCTTAGTAATTTATAACAAACAGTTAAACACTTCTCACTTTAACGCCCTTATGATTGGAGACACTCCGATTGAATATATCGGTCAAGCTAACAATTTAGGCTTCTGATTCATTAGGAGCGTGACCCAGCAATTCCTACCACTAAATCTGAGAATGATCATAGCAAAAACATTCATACTTCCAATACTATCCTATAGTGTTGAGGTAAATGCAAATTGTGACGCAGCCTCATTCCGAAAGCTAAAAGTAGCATTGTTCATGCTTTGCTCATGTTATCAGTTATAAATACCAACTTTTTGACCTAAGTATTATGTCTTGGATAAACGTTAGGGTTCTATCATTTTTACAAAAATTGATAAATACTAAGGAGACGTGGCAGACCCCACAAAGTATATATATTCTTGATCAGCATGACAAGACGAGACGATCTAGCGCTGTCTGTCTATCTGTCAGTCCGTCTGTCTATCCATCCGTATGAACACCTGGATCTCAGAGACTATAGGAGCTAGAGACACCAAATTTTGCACAAAGATGCCTTATGTGTGTGCGCTGTGCAAGATTGTTTTATTTTTTTTTTATTTCCCCCTTCCCCCCACCCTCCACTTTAATCACTGATTTTCCATAACACCCGTATTTCTAAGAATTTTTCATTGAAATTCAGAAAATACCTCCAGTTAGTGATTATGAGCCCGTATGCCAAGTTTTATAATGATAGGCCGATTTTAAAGGCCGTATGAACACCTGGATCTCAGAGACTATAAGAGCTAGAGACACCAAACTTTGCACAAAGATGCGTTATGTGTGTACGCTGTGCAAGCTTGTTTTATTTTTTTGATTTTCCCCCCACTTCCGCCCTATGGGTTTTTTCCCGATTTTCCGTTCGTACAAGTATAATCACCTATATATCGGAGACCATATAACCTAGGGACACCAAATGTTAGTTCAAGATGCCTTTTGTGAATACGCAGAAAATGTGTATTTGCGAATTCTTGGAATTTCGAACTCAAAGTTTGCAAATACCCCCAGTTTGTTATTATGTGTCCGTATGCCAAGTTTCACTATGATAGACCGATTTAACAAGAAGTTATATATATAGTTATAAATATATTTGCTGCTCAAGCGCTGCCCAAGCGCTACCCGCAGCTGTTGTTGATGTTGCTGTTTTGTTGACTCAAAACATGTTTACACAGACACGAATAGACGCGCATAGATATACATACACTGCCATAGACGCAATTGCTATGTAAATGTGCAATTACATCCTTTACGTGAGTTCAAATACCGAGAAAGGTAAAATCGATCAAACAATTTTTTTTTTAATTCTCTTACTTTTTTTTAATTTCTATAATTATTCTAAACAAATGTACAGAGTATTTTAAAGTCGGGAAACCCGACTTTAGCTTTTTTACTTATTTTTTCCAGCTGCTGTTAACATAGTTGAATACATACATCAGTATTATACATGCGTACAGTGCTGGCCACAACTGTAGACGTTACATTCCATTTAACATACAAAGTTAAACCGTTGCGCCTGCGGTTTCTTCAATAGTATACAGTGTATACATGTATATATTTTTCTGGACATAGTCCAATTATACATTTATACATTTTTAGTTTTGTCCAACATTTAAAGACTCTCTACAAACATGCCGTCAAAACGCAGCAAGCAAACCTATCGCAAGCTGTCGGATGATTTGGCGTCAAGCAGGTTCGATGCATTACTGCAATCACACACAAATGTTGTCAGAGATATAGAACGCATAAAAGATTCCGTGCAAAATGCCACTAAACCCATTGAGTCAGTTGAAAATTTTAACCAGGTATATTGACAGAGCGTTTAATCTGCAGGAAGAGCAGATCTAGAAAATTTGTGCGTCACTACGGAAACGCTGCTCCTGAGTGGGTGTTCGGCCAAACCTCAGAGGGACAGTCTGGCAAACTCTACAATGTTTGGATCAGGTTGCCATAGCAAGCAGCTGCCGTCGATGAAACTTCCAAAATTCAGTGGCAACTATTCGGAGTACAAAAATTGCATTGGTCTGTTCGTAAAATTGGTTGACCATGACGCATCTCCGACAAATATACAAAAATTTAATCACTTACTATCTTGTTTGGATAAAGAAGCGCTTGGCACAGTCAAAGCTTATCAAGTGACTGATGACAATTATCCAAAGGTGCTAGCTGCATTAAAATGAGTTTATGACAATAGTTGCCTAATTGTTTTCGACAGCGTTTCCAAGCTGTTCGACTTCAAAAAATTCAAAAGGCCCTCTGCTTCATCTGTGAGCTCCTTAATAGATAATGTAAGGGCAATTTATGAATCGCTGTTGTCGTTGGGTAATGAGAAGCAAATAGAAAACGTCATACTCATACATTTGGGTATGGGTAAAGTAGACTCCATCAATCGATACAAAAGGGAGGGGAGAGGAAGAGGGCCTCGACTACAGTCAACTTCCATCTTGGGAAGAATGCGAAGCCACTCTTAATAAACGCTACCAGCATCTATCTGCTGAGGAGGCATCGTCTGGCCGGCCTAAGAAGCCAAGTGCCGATGGGTCAAAAAGGAATGGTAAAACGGCGTTGGCAGTAGCACAGCCAAGTCAACCGTTGACCCTTAAGTGTCCGTTTTGTCAGTCGAATGACCACTACATACAAGCATGTCCTCAATTCTCAGCGAACGGAAAGGTCATACAACTAAGTCCTGCAAGTCTGGTTGTTGCAGAGTCTGTTCGAAGACGCATCACACGCTCTTGCACAAGTACGAATATAGTCAAATGTTGGTAGCACAATCTACAGTACCAACACAAACGTCGGCGGTGAACCAGACCACGACAGTGACCGACCAAGTAATTTTGGCAACAGCAATTGTCAAGGTAATGGACCAGTCAGGGTCCTACCAATTAGCCAGGGCACTTTTTGAATCTGGTTCGCAGGTCAATTTTATGACCGAGGACTTGGCCAGAGCTCTAAGCTTAAGAGGGAGCGCAAAGACATTTGTTTATTAGGCATAGGCAAACGAAAGTCTGACGTACGTCATATCGCTAAAACTTTTATAGCTTCTCGAATTGACAAATTTGACAGCCTGAGAAACTGGTAGTAGACATTGACGTGCCTAACGGTTGTGAATTGGCAGATCTGCAATTCCATCGGCCGCAACGCATAGATCTGCTACTTGGAGCAGACGCTGTTGGCGCAGATGCTGTTTTAGATTAGGATAGTTTAAGAGAAATATTTGAATTTTAGTTTAGGGCGAAAAGAGAGCGCGAGAGCGGCCGTTGCGGACGTCGCCTCGTGCCCTTTTTTCGCCGCCTTAGGCTTAGTTTAGCATGTAAGCCGAATTTTGAAGTTAGTTGTAAAATATAACTAAATAGAAGCACAATCGCCACCGCATCGTTTCGTAATTTTCTATATTAAAGTTAGTGTTAAAGTTAAAAGCAAGCGTCCCATTTTTCTTCGTTTTTATACAATTTATATAAATTCATATAAATTTTCATTGGCGCCCGAGCAGGGACTTGCTTG